GGTTGTATTTCAATGGTATTGTACAGCATTTTATTAGTATTGCATTTCAGTAGTATTGTAGTAGTATTGTAATTATACTTTAGCTGTATTATGTATTGCAGTACTACTGCAGTTATATTGCAGTATTATTGTAGTATTCAGTGCAGTACTACTGCAGTTATATTGCAGTATTATTGTAGTATTCAGTGCAGTACTACTGCAGTTATATTGCAGTATTATAGTAGTATTCAGTGCAGTAATACCGCAGTTATATTGCAGTATTATTGTAGTATTCAGTGCAGTAATACCGCAGTTATATTGCAGTATTATTGTAGTATTCAGTGCAGTACTACCGCAGTTATATTGCAGTATTATTGTAGTATTCAGTGCAGTACTACTGCAGTTATATTGCAGTATTATTGTAGTATTCAGTGCGGTACTACTGCAGTTATATTGCAGTATTATTGTAGTATTCAGTGCAGTAATACCGCAGTTATATTGCAGTATTATTGTAGTATTCAGTGCGGTACTACTGCAGTTATATTGCAGTATTATTGTAGTATTCAGTGCAGTACTACTGCAGTTATATTGCAGTATTATTGTAGTATTCAGTGCAGTACTACTGCAGTTATATTGCAGTATTATTGTAGTATTCAGTGCAGTACTACTGCAGTTATATTGCAGTATTATTGTAGTATTCAGTGTAGTAATACCGCAGTTATATTGCAGTATTATTGTAGTACTACTTCAATAATACTGCAGTATTTCTGATATGTAGTGCTACTTCAGTTGTATTGCCGTAACTGCAGTTGTACTCCAGCTATACTGCAATATTGCAGTTTTTTCGTGTCCAAAAAACTGCATTTTTCTACATGTAGCAAAAACTGCAGTATTACTTTAAAAAAACTGCAGTATTTTTTTGTAAAGGATGACCTGTAAAAAAAGAGTATTCAATAACAGCTTAATAATCCCACATCTGCCTATGAATGTTTAAAACCTGTCTAGACCTGAAACAGACTTGTGCTACAGCTGCCTTAAAAACAACTGTCAGCATTTGTGTATTTTACCATATTTCAGCATTATTTCATGAATATTGTACTGAATGGAATGCAACCGAATAAACTATTTCATTTCACTTTAAGAAGCTTTCATTATTAAATCACTTTTCTTATACTATTTTCTCAAACCTAAAACAATCTAGTCCCTGATAGCTTTTAACATAACAAACCCTAAAAAAAATTTTTAAAAAAAGAAAGAAAAAAAAGACAGCTTTGGCTGGTTGCCATCGGCTACTCTGCGGGAGCTAAAATATCTAGGATTACCGTGTGTGCAGTGCTCACTTCAGCGAAAACGATCACATCCCCAACCAAGGAGGAAAAAGAAAAAAACAGATTTTAAATAGTTTTGCTGTACCAGTACCACGGGTAAGCATTTACTAACTTTATGATCCCATGTCTAAACTGTACGGTAAACAAGCTGTTTAGACTCCAGTGGAAAACACGTGAAAAGATGTCTAATATAAAAACAGTATATAGGGATATAGGTACAATTTGCTGAGAAAACTATTTGATTTAACAAACACACAATTGAGGTTTTGTGTTGCAATCAATAACATTTAGAGTAGCCGATGGCAACCAGCCAAAGCTGTCTCGTAGCTATATCCGAAACAGGAAAACAATGGAATCTGAACGGTGATCCCGGCACATTCTTGTGGTCACAGCCTGGGAATTTACAAGTTTGCACCATTGTTCATTTTCTACTTTTTACGTCGTTGTCAATCGATTGTGTAAACACTATGGAACAGCTGATCGGAACGTGCGCAATGTTGACGTTGACAGCAGCGCGGATTGATAGAAATGGAAAGAAAATTGTTGTGTTTATGTAGGCCTACTTGTCAGGAGATGGCGCTGTAGTTCACATGATGTTACCTATAAAAGGTGTAGAGTAAGAATCGTATAGTTGTTGCACCTGCTGTCTAATTATGTAGCCGTGTGGCACTTTGGCATTGCTTGTGGGTTACTTGTCTTCATGATTACCAGGACTTAGACATAACAAAAATAGTGCCCATTAAAACTGAGGTATGAATTTTGCCCGGCGTGTTTTTTGTGTGGTAAATTAATCAAGCTTTGAAACGCAAATAATTTTTTTCACGTAAAAACGCACAGTTTTGTGGCCCCGGAAACTAACCGGGAGTACTTTCTTGAAAAACTTCCAGCGGCCAGAACTCAGACCAGGGAGGTGACCACAGAGTGGGTCAGTGTGTATCCACTATAGTGCTGGTAAGGATTGCATACAACTTCATGTCTTAATGGGCGAACTAACCCTTTAACCCCACTAACGTAAGGCTCCGCCTACTTGAGGCACAGGCTCCTCCCACTTGAAGTGTCTGGGCTTCAGCGATACAGTATATTCTTGGCATTCCCTGCTTTTCATGCTGGAGAACTGTACTGAATAATATTTGTGAAACTCACAGGATTATGATTTACATAGGCCTATATATGTTTTTGTGTTTTTTTTCGGTCTAGTTTAGAGTAGAATCACTATTTCACAGAGATGCATTGTTGTAGCCACAGGACAAATGAGTTACACACCAGTGAATGTCATAGCAAAACCAATCCATCATTCAGAACAATAAAAACACCCAGAAAAGGAGTTGATTGAAAGAGCCCGAAACACTGTACACTAGCGACACCTGCTGGTCAAAATTGTAAATGCAACGAGAACACAGCCATACCAGAGCCATTTGAAGGCAAAGCCTGCCTGCAACCTTTAGCCTTTAGATATAAAAAATGGATATCAATGAAGGAGAGGCAATACTTTCGTTGGGAACTATATGTAGATTTTACCTTGATAAAATGCTATTTTTAAGAGAAGGCAGAGTAGAGAATGTCACAACAGGTAGGACTCCAACGGCATTACCGCAACAGCAAATGTGTAATAGTATTTAATAGTAGGCATTGTGTATTGAGTGATATTGTATAATGTCTAAAGAAAGTAAACAATATTGATGTTGGCTTTCAAGTTTGACCAATTATAATAGAACTTAAATGACTGTGACTGCCATGCACTATGCTGATATAATGCAACTTAATGAATAAAGAGAAAATTAATCATTTAATTATATATATAGTCTTTAATTACAAAATGTATAAAGTAATGATGTGTGATCTCTGTGGCTTCCAGGTTTCAACAATTAGACATTAATTTTAATGATATATGACTGCTGTGAATGCCTAACAATGATAATACTTTTTAAGTGAATGAAGGTAAACAAAATATTAAGCTTGTAATAAATGTATTCTTTTTATGGCTTTCAGACTTCTACAATTAAATATGTACATTTTTTTACTGACTTGCATCAGTGTATCATATGTATACCCAATAAAGCTGTCTTAAATGAAGATCCAAATCTAATCTCAAATGTGGTTCTCTAACAAGCTTAGATGTTATGGCAAGAAGGAGGCGGGAAACGGCGAACAATCAACAATTTTAATAAAAAAAAAAATAAACAAATACAAAAATTTAAGTAAAGACAAAAACAAAACATAAAATAAAATCCAGTCCTGGCCTCTCTCATCCTTCACTGGCGTCGCTCCTCCTTTTAAGCTTCCACTCCTCCGTGAGAGATACGAGACTGGTGCACCTCACTGGTGTCGATCATCAGTAATCCCGTCATCGGCCTCGCGCCGCTCTCTCACGGCCCTCTGCCTCGCGCCGCTCTCTCACGGCCATCGGCCTCGCGCCGCTCTCTCACGGCCATCGGCCTCGCGCCGCTCTCTCACGGCCATCGGCCTCGCGCCGCTCTCTCACGGCCATCGGCCTCGCGCCGCTCTCTCACGGCCATCGGCCTCGCGCCGCTCTCTCACGGCCATCGGCCTCGCGCCGCTCTCTCACCGCCCTCGGCCTCGCGCCGCTCTCTCACCGCCCTCGGCCTCGCGCCGCTCTCTCCCGGCCCTCGGCCTGCAGTTAACAAGCAATTCGCGTTTTTTACAGCTCGGCGAAGCACATTCTACAAACATTGCAGTCTATTGAATCACTGCATAAAAGATAATACTGATTAATAAATGCTAATTAAACATGGAGTAAAAGGATATAATAAGAAGCCAAAGGGAAGGCGATGGAGCATAAAGGTGCGTTCCATTCGACCGTAAGTGGACTGCGAAGTGGACTTCACAGGGTATTTCGCCATCTTAAGTGAGATTCCAATCCGAAGGGAACGAACATGTTCAGTTCAAAGGGCACTGCAAACGGCGTAGGGAATATCGATACATCACTTCACAGGAAGTGGAGAGCGAAAATCAACCAACTGTCATTGTGCACCGCGTCACCAGTCGGAACTAACCATAGAGCAGAGCCGTTGGAAGAGATTTTAAATTTAAATTTCTAACGGCTCTGATTTTACGTATGCATTGAGTATTCTTAAATATTGTTATTATTATACAAACTAGAGTATTTATGAACGGTTGGGGTGATGAATGTATCTATAGGCCTATATGATTTTAAATTAGAAAGGAAAGTAAATTACAAAATTGAATTAAGTTATATCATAATCTGCGCGACCCTGTTGTTGCCTTTTTTTGATGACGTTGCAGGGCATTCCAAATGAGTGATTATTGTCAGCGAAGTCCACTTCAACTCATGTACCGTGTTCAGGGAGTAGGGAACACACCCTGTCGAATGGAACGCACCTTAAGAATCCACTCCCGTTCACTTTTATAAAATGTTTAAATATAAATAGATCAAAATACAATAATCATAATAAAGCATGATTTGGTATTATATCATGAAGTAAACATTTATACAAGAACTTCTTAGATATTGTTGATTTGGGAGAAACTCATGTTGATCTCGGTAAAGAGGGACTCTGTTCACTGTAATAACTTTGAATGTTTCATTGTCCTGTCACTTGTTGTGGCTGGTTTGGGAAGATTTATTTAGAAGAGATAGATTTGACTGCTTAGTTTTATTGTTTGGTGAGGACACAATGTCGCATTTTGAATGTGATGGATCTGAAGATGAATTCAGACATGATTTCTTGATTTCAAACATTTTTTTGTATGATTGAGAAGAGAAGATGAATGAGCGAAACTCTTCCCACACGGAGGGCAGTGATACGGTTTCTCTCCAGTGTGGACCCTCTCATGTGATTTCAGAGATCCTGAACATTTGAATCTCTTGTCACAGTATGAACACTTGTAAGGTTTCACTCCAGTGTGGATCCTCTCATGTGTTTTCAGATATACTGAACATGTGAATCTCTTGTCACAGTATGAACACTTGTAAGGTTTTTCTCCAGTGTGAATTCTCTGGTGCTTTTTCAGTTCAGCATCTCTAACAAAAGTCTTCCCACAATCAAAGCACATGTGATTCTTCACACCATTGTGTCTTTTCTGGTGTACATTTAGAGAACTCATCTGACTAAAACTCTTTCCACACAAAGGACATGTGTAAGGCTTCTCCTGTGTGTGAACTTTCATGTGGTCCTTCAGCGCATCTCTCCTAAAAAATCTTTTACCACACTGATCACAGGTAAACGGTCTTTCTCCAGAATGACAACGCAGGTGTATTTTCAAAGTGCATGCTTTTCTGAAACTCCTCCCACATTGATCACACGTGTGCGGCTTCTCTCCAGTGTGGATTGTCATGTGTTCCTTAAGGGATCCTTTAAATGTGAAACTCATCCCACACTGATCACATGAGTACGGCTTCTCTCCAGTGTGGATTTTCATGTGATCACTAAGGGTTCCTTTTAATGTGAAACTCTTTCCACACTGATCACATGAGTACGGCTTCTCTCCAGTGTGGATTTTCATGTGATCCCTAAGGGTTCCTTTTAATGTGAAACTCTTTCCACACTGATCACATGAGTACGGCTTCTCTCCAGTGTGGATTTTCATGTGATCCCTAAGGGTTCCTTTTAATGTGAAACTCTTTCCACACTGATCACATTTGTACGGCTTCTTTCCAGTGTGGATTTTCATGTGATCCCTAAGGGTTCCTTTTACTGCGTAACTCTTCCCACACTGAGGGCAGGTGACAGATTTTTTTTTGGCTCTTCTTTTCAATAAATTACTTTCAGTCTGTGAGTGACTCAAAGATTTTTCACCGGTTTTGACATGATGTTGTTTCTCCTCCGCTTCACTCAGTTCTTCCCTCTCCTCATGGTCTTCCATCAGGTCTAAAATGAAAGTAAGGAAAGGTTCATTTTCAGTAAAACAAAAAAAAATTGAGAAATGTAAAGGGAAAGACACAAAGGTGAAACATGATGTAATATCAGAAAGAATGTAACTGCTATACAATTATTATTTCGATGCATTAATGTTTGAGATCGGCCAATAAATGCCATTACATTATTTTTTCAGATGGTCTATTTAAGGTTTTTTTTTTTATCTGACATCCCTCTCCAAATCACAGTGATCCTGGAGACTATCAGTGTCTCACGCCATAGGCTGGAAAACACCCTGGATTGATTCACACTAGGGATATAATGTTTATGTGATGAAAACATATCACGATTTTAGTGACCAAAATTATCACGATTATCAATATTATCACGGTTTTGTTAAAATGAGATGAAAATGTTCAGAACGTTCTCTCGTTTTATTAAAATTCATTTATAAATAAGGTTAGTGGATAATTCAGTAGCAAATGTTATTATAGTGGAAAACAAATTAGTTTGGAACAAATGAAAGGTAAAATGCTAAACATTGCTTTTTCTATTATTATAAAAATACATTGATGAAAAACAAATAAATGTATTTACATATACTATAAAATGAAAATACATTCATTTTAAATGTATAGAGCAGCTTTTTCATGAGGCAACATCATTTGATAGATAGGACAAAGTAAGAAAGACCATTAATAATCTTAATTTTCATTGCGCAAAAGTATTCCATTGCGCGGAAGAGATAGCCAGCAGCCATATCACCCTGTAGCCCAAGACTGGTTGCCCACTGAAGCTAAGCAGGGCTGAGCCTGGTTAGTACCTGGATGGGAGACCTTCTGAGAAAACCAGGTTGCTGCTGGAAGAGGTGTTAGTGAGGCCAGCAGGGGGTGCTCATCCTGTGGTCTGTGTGGGTCCTAACGCCCCAGTATAGTAATGGGGACACTATACTGTCAAAGAGCACCGTCCTTCGGATGAGACGTTAAACCGAGGTCCTGACTCTCTGTGGTCACAAAAAATCCCAGGATGTCTTTCGAAAGAGTAGGGGTGTAACCCCGGCATCCTGGCCAAATTTGCCCAGTGGCCTCTGTCCATCATGGCCTCCTAATCATACCCATATATATATATATACCAATTGGCTTCATCACTCTGTCTCCTCTCCACCAGTAAGCTGGTGTGTGGTGGGTGTTCTGGCGCAATATGGCTGCCGTCGCATCATCCAGGTGGATGCTGCACACTGGTGGTGGTAGAGGAGATTCCCCCTTCTATGTAAAGCGCTTTGAGTGCAGAGAAAAGCGCTATATAAATGTAATGAATTATTATTATTATTTGAATTATTAAGGCGCGAATACAGAGCGGCAAAGCGCCTATGCGCATCCCGCGCGCAGAATGATGCGCTTGAGGCAACATTGGCTCACAGCGCACAGCACTTCGCATTGAAAAGCTCAGAAAACAAGAGGAAGAGATATTGATGCTTTGTGTATCATATCTATGCAACAGTTTATTTAGCCTTTTCTTATAACAGTTTTAAATTTCAGTTACTGTGTGCGTGAAGAGCATGATTGAGAAACATAAATAAACTCTAGCAAGATTGAGTAGGGGAGAGCGGGATACAACGTAAAGGCCTGTTCACACCGGGACGAATTTCGCGTGCGATATTCGCCGACGTTTAACGCCTCATGACTAAACAAAGGGCGCCAATGTGAGTGTGCACACCGACGCGAAAAACGTCACGCGTAAAAACGTAATTTTTTTTAAAACGCCTCGGATTCGTTTTTTTTTTGGTTTGACGCGTCACGTCAAAAGCTATCCGCCCAATGAGATTGGCGCTTTTGCTCACGTGTCTGGAGCTTCTGAAGTTACAGTAAAACACAACTTGGGGGTGCTTAAACACAAAACGGTATTGCCGAGCACCAGTGGTGGACAGTAACGAAGAAAATGTAATTCGTTACTGTACTTAAGTAGCTTTTTTGCGTATCTGTACTTTACTCAAGTATTTCAATTTTGGGAGACTTTTACTTTAACTACACTACATTTCAAAGTCAAATATCTTACTTTTTACTCTACTACATTTTCAAAATCAGTCGTTCCTTTTTATTTATGAGTGGATAAAAACGTAACTGGTCAAATGAGCCACCAATCACAGTACAGCGCACGCACTTTGTTTTGAACTTGCCTTGGCGGTATCTACCAAGCGTGAACCAGAGCCGTTAAATATGAGAGTTGCGAACATAGATGGTTGTGACAGTGATCTCGCCGCCGTGCGGTCACGTTATTCGTGTAGCTCTCAATAGTTCCAAACAAATCGCGTTGCCAATGTTTTTTTAGCGGGGCAGAGAGCAGCAGCCATGCTATTATTGCCAATAGCGTCTGGCAGCAATTATCTGTAAATATTGACACATAATGTACATTGCTTTTTACGTTGACACTAAAATGACTTGCATATCATTTTTTTCTGGGGCGTAGCCTAGCAGAAACACTGCATTAATACGTTTTTGTGTTTAATTTTGGAGGGAAATTGGCTGCTCCCATATCATAGAATATATATATATATATATATATATATATATATATATTCTATGTATGTGTGTGTGTGTAAATATATGTGTGTGTGTGTATATGTAAGGGATAATCCACGGCTAGCCATGCATTAAAGGATTTTAATGCACGGCGTAGAGGCGAAGAACCACCCGACGCGAAGCGGAGCCTCTACACGTGCATTAAAATTCTTTAATGCATGGCTAGCCGTGGATTATCCCGCTTATACCATGGTTATTTGCCAAGTTAAAAAGAAGTTAAAGCTGTAACTGATGTTTACAGTGTAATTTTTTAACAGACGTGTAAAAGTTACACGTAAAAGTTGCGTGCGCGAGTTACCTGTGTGCGTCTCTTTCAGTTCTCTGTCACTCTCTTTTAATAATGAATTTAAATAAATGTGATCATTTATGTGATACAAGTTTCAATTTTAATGAAAACGTTTATTTATTAAAATAATTTATGAATGACAGGCAACACTGACAGTGACAAGGCAATCTTTATTTAAATAAATGAACGTTTTCATTTGTCTCACTCTACGAAAAAGAATTCAATTGTTGATATCAAGAATTCAATTGTTGATATCAAAAAATGTAATTGTTGATATCAACAATTGCATTCTTGATATCAACAATACATATCCTGGAAATGAATAAAAGTTAAAACGGCTTGCCATAATGTGCTTGCTTGTTAGCCTAACGTTAGATTCGTGAAGTCCGTTCTATGAATACATTTAAGATAAGTAACGAGCCGTTAACAAAATACAACGAATCTTGCATGATACCATTGGCCACCTATGTCATATTTCTTATATTTCGTTTACTTTGTGATATGGACCTAAGGGTCTGAAATAAAGAATGAATGAATGAATATTCACGATAGTACAATATATTGTGGTACATTACAGTCTTACAATAGCTCACATTATTCCTGTAAGGAGGCAAGCTAGCTACATCTCTCTTTCAGATATTGATATTGACCTACGTAGAGATTGTGTGTATACTGTCTCGTTTTTAATGCATCTCTCTTTTTCACACTGTTCTAAGTATGAATGCCATCATAAATTAATTCTCATGATCTATTTTAAGTAACTGTTAGGCTACTAATGTAAAAATGTTTATGGTTATATTATTTCCTTAGATCATCAATGACTGTGAGGAGGATCTCAGCCACATGCCCCAGACCTGTGATGCAGAAACACAATGGGAGGATCCATCTGTATCTGACCACAACTACGCTACAATATCTCAACTCAACCTGAAGCCACCTACATCTGAAATGGGAACACAATGCGTTGAGCCAGTGCTATAGTACATAACTCTGCTGAGAAACGACCACCTTTGTCAGCTCTACACAGGGTCGACATTGGATGCATTCCATTCAGTAGCCGAGCACCTTACCAGTTCATACACCGACAGCTTTCACGAGCACCTTACCAGTTCATACACCGACAGCTTTCACGAGCACCTTACCAGTTCATACACCGACAGCTTTCACGAGCACCTTACCAGTTCATACACCGACAGCTTTCACGAGCACCTTACCAGTTCATACACCGACAGCTTTCACGAGCACCTTACCAGTTCATACACCGACAGCTTTCACGAGCACCTTACCAGTTCATACACCGACAGCTTTCACGAGCACCTTACCAGTTCATACACCGACAGCTTTCACGAGCACCTTACCAGTTCATACACCGACAGCTTTCACGAGCACCTTACCAGTTCATACACCGACAGCTTTCACGAGCACCTTACCAGTTCATACACCGACAGCTTTCACGAGCACCTTACCAGTTCATACACCGACAGCTTTCACGAGCACCTTACCAGTTCATACACCGACAGCTTTCACGAGCACCTTACCAGTTCATACACCGACAGCTTTCAGCTACACACTTGAGATTAGCTCCTGATGACTCTGATGAAGCTGCGTCTTAATTTATTGCAGGGTGATCTTGCTGTAAGGTTTGGTGTTTCTCAGTCCATTGTAAGCAAGGTGATTTCGCGTTGGCTTGACATCATGGAGGAGAAGTGTTTCAGAGAGCAATTTCCAAACACAACATGTAGGGCTGCACAATATAGCAAAATAATCGCAATATGCATAACTTTTTTAGCTTTAATAAGAATCAGTGTATATATATATATATATATTTAATTCATACAGTGAAAACTAAGCAGTGTTTTATTTTTACATTTGATTATTCAGTTTCTGTTGTTAAATAGACCTAATGTAGGATAACCTGAACCCCTTAACCCCGTGGTTTACACTGATGTTAAAATAACACTTCTTATGCTACAGTAAAACACTGCTGTTCACTTTAACAAGTTGAAGGGATGTTTTCTTGTCACAAAAAAATTTGAAACACGTATGTAGGTTATTTAAGTTTAAATCTAATTTAAGTTAATTTTATAAATTAAGCACAATCGTATCGCATATCGCATTGTTTAATGAGTTATCGAATTTTTTCTTCA